GGTCGGGGGGGATGGGTGGCAAGACTGGGAGGCCAGCCGACAGCCCAACCTCCTGAAAAGGGGATGTGTTGACCCCCATATCCCAGGCTTTGGGAGGCCCTCGAATGGACCAGAAACTTGGGGCCTAACCCTGGGATGTACGATGGGGGGCGTCAATCCTCGACAGGGGTGCGACCGAAGAGCCCCCCATTGGGGTGCGTCCCAAGGTTTCCCTGCTTCTCCGAGCGGCTTCACTTTGCGTCGAAGCGTCGGGGGCTGGGGAGGGGGACCATCGCCTGCCACTCCTGCCTCTGCGCAGCCTCACCTGTGAGCCCAAGCGGCTGGCTGGTCAGGCACCGCGCAAGAAAAAACGGGGGGGGGGGGGTAATTCTCGTCTGGACGCTCGGAATGGGTACGGAAAACATGGCTACGATGCCCAACAACAGAAGTTGTCCAAAACCGACAGCGGCCGCTGTCGGGCAGGCGGCCTCTTGCATTCAATGTGAGCAACGTCCGCGGAGGCGCGGACGGCGAGTCCTGATCAGAATGAACAGGAACTGCTGTTGGGCTCTGTACCCATTCTCTACGTGCCCATCTCCATCGTCCCGATCTCGGCTTTCTCGGGCGTCCCCATGGAGGTCCTCGGGCCCCCCCCCCAGACGGGCGCGGCTCCGTAAGAGCAGGCCAGGACGTGCCCGGGGAGGCGACCAGGGACCTGCTCTGCGCGGACTTGTGGAAGGGGCCCAGGGACACACAATTACATACACACAAATCCCAATATTCACAACTTCTTTTAATCTGTTCTAAAGTTTCGTCTTCCCCCCCACTTCCCATATTTGCCCATATGTTCCTGGGATCGACGACTGATTGTGTGTTTTTCCCCTCTTGAACTTGGTGGTTCGGGGTGGGGGGGTGGGTCTCAAGACTCAAAGGCGTCTCTGTGGAGAGCTGCATACAGTCGGACCTAGGACAGAAGAACATCCTCCCAGAACATGAGGCCCTCCGCCGGCGCAAACTGAAGAACATTCGAGGGTGCCCTCCCACAGGACGCACAAGAGTGTCCCACAAATTTGAAGGACACTAGGCTATCCTCTCCGAACCGACCTCGATCTTATACCTGGGTCCGACCGTACCGTGACATGCGTGAACAAAAAGACTGGTCTATAACATGACTGCCACGGTCGGACCCCACACGACAACCTGTTTAGCTGGCTCCTGGCCCTTTTCCTCTTCGACTGGCGCAGGCCCTCCTCCCGCTTCTGCGTCCTCCTCCTCCTCCTCATCATCATCGTCCTTCTCGACCTGGCTCTTCAAGATTGAAGCCTGAGGAGCCCAAAAGTGACGACAATTACAAGATTTGGATGACCCGCTCGGATTTGAACATGAAGTGCGGGCCCCATAGGGAGGGGGCTCCCGCCCGAGATTTCCTCAAGATTCAGGCCTGAGGAGCCCAAGCGTGACGACTGTTACAGTACTTGGATGACCCGCTCGGATTGGAACAGAAAGCGCGGGCCCCATAGGGAGGGGGCTCCCGCCTGAGACGACCCCACAATCCAGGCCTTTTGAGCCCAATAGTGACGACAATTACAGGATTTTGATGACCCGCTCGGATTCGAACATGAAACGCGGGCCCCATCGGAAGGGGGCTCCCGCCTGAGACTTCATCACGATTCATTCACAGACGAACCTCCCGCATGAGACTTCCTCAAGATTCAGGCCTGAGGAGCCCAAGAGTGACGACTGTTACAGGACAAACTTGGGCTCCACACCGAACCGCATCGCCGATGCATCGTCGATGCGACGCGATCCTCCGACCCGATCTGCTTCGACCCCATTTGGGAGTCCTGGGACAAATACTTCTGCCGATCCTCGGCGACAGCAGGGCCTCGTCGTCGTCGTCGCCGCCGTCGTCGACAACGTCGTCGTCGTCGTCGCACTTCAGGGTCGGCGTCACTGGCCGTGAGGCCGTCGCAAATATCCTGATCCTGGAGCGCTGAGTCGATGTCCTCCACGTCGATCCCGAAAACGTCCACCGAGGTCGGGATCCGATTCAATGTTATCGATGTCTGACGAATGAGGCCAGGAATTATGTGTGCGAGCTCGTGTGTACCAGCCCCGCGTCCCTATTCGCCAGCCAGCCACAGCCCTTGACGCATTGTCTGAGAGGCTGGAAAAATCGTCAGTGCTGACGGCGACGACGACGTCGACGACGACGTCGACGACGACGGCAAGGTTGCGCACCGACAGCCCCCCCACCCCGGTGGCCCAGGCTGACCTCAGCAGACCCCCCCCCAGTCGCCCAGGCCGGTCTCAACAGCTCAACCCTGGGGCGCTGAAGCCCCAGGGGCGCCGCCAGGGGCGCCGCCGAGGGCGCCGCTAGAGGCGGCGCCAGGGCGTTCAGTGCTGAGACCGCCCTGGGTCACTCGGGGGGCCCTGCTGAGGCCAGCCGGAACTTCCTGGGGGGGGGCTGTTTGTGCGCAGCCCTAAGCTTTAGTATCGGAGAATGCCGGGACTGAACACACGATGGGAACAATGCGGCATGTCTGACGCTGGATCTATCTGTGAGGGCCGCGGGGCCCGAAACGGAGCGAAACCTGTCATAGCGTGATTCAAAGAGACGCCAAGGCCTCAGGGCTGAACTCATCATACAGTGATCATTGGATCCTGGATTTCTCCAGTCGCGACCGACGAGATCGGTCGCTACAGATGTTGCTCCAAATTCTTGGATCGACCGCGACAGATCTGCTTCAAAAGCGGCCGCGACCGATCGGTCGCGGCCGACCTGTCGCGATCGGTCGCCAACGATCTGGAGCGCCAATCTGTCGCTACCGGTCGCTACCGAGAGCCAAGTGTATCGAATGATCTGGGTATCGCCGGGGGTCCAGGGGGAGGGGGACAAGGAGGAGGAAGAGGAGGAGGGGGAGGAGGAGGAGGAGGGGGGGGAGGGGGAGGGGGACGGGGAGGGAGAGGGGAGAAGGGGGAGGGGGAGGAGGGAACAATCTACGCGCGCTAGCCTCACTTTGTTATTATGTTTACCATCCAGGGGGAGCCCAGCGGCAAGAGCGGGTGACAGACAGAGCGCGGAGGAGCGGGCGGAGGAGGAGGGAGACAGGGGGGACGCAAGCAGCGCGCACGGCGAGCACGCGGGACGTCGGCAGCCCACGGCGGCCGCCGCTAATTCACTTCAGTGATCAGGCGCGCCAGGGCGCTCGAGCAGGCGCCGTCGCACCGCCGCCCGCCACGCCGCCTCGCGGCCCCCAGCGCGCGGGGCGTCCAAGAGCAGCAGGCCGGCCGCCCGAGGCGGCAGGTGCGGCGCCCATGCGCCGCAGGGGCGGCATGCGAGGCGCTCCCACTGCGGGGCCCAGCACCCGCACGCCATGCAAGCCACCCAGGCTAGGGCCCTGGGAGGCGACGTGCCCCTGCCACGCGTAGCCGGCGAACAAAGCCCTCGCCGCGGCGGCTGCCCCAGGGCCTGGCTCTGCGCGCGCCGGCCCCGGCCCCGCCCGCGTGGCCGCAGCTGCCGCCACTGCCGCAGCGTTGTCTGCCACGCGTGGTGCGCGGCGGCGGCGAGGCCTCGCCTGCGTCCAGCGGCGGCGTGCTCGCGGGCCGCCTGGCCTGTGCCCGTGGTTGGCCTTGAGGGCCTCGAGCTCCACCATGGCGAGCACGCGCTGCACCGCCGTGAGGGTTTCCAGCTGCCGCTCGCGCTCCTGGCGCATCGCCAGCGGGGGCAGCCGAACCTCGGCCGCCGTCCCCGCGAGGCGGTCGGCCGCGGCGTTCCTGGAACGGTCCTCGGGTGACACGCCGCGCTCACGGGCCTCCGCGGCGTCGAGGTGCCCCTTGACCCACCGCACGGCTAGCGCGCCGCTCCGGCAGAGAGGCACCAGCGGCTCCCACAGGTCAGCGTGGGCCCAGTCGTCGGGGGACGCCCCGGTCCTGGTCGCTGCGACGCCATTGCTGACGAAGCGGGAGTCGGTCACTGTCTCGCCGGCCCCGCCGGCCAGGCTGACAGCATGGAGCGCTGCCGTGAGCTCGGCACGCTGCGCGGTCTGCGCGCCAGCAACAGGCCCATGGTGTTCCTGGGGGCCCGCGCCCTGGTCCAGCACCACCCCCCACCCTGCCCTGGCGAGGAGGGGGTCGGTGGGGTGCGAGCAGCCGCCGTCCGTCCAAGCGCGCGCCCGGGGCGAGCTCGCGGCGGGGGCTGGCTGGGCTGGGCGCAGCAACGGCCATTGCGCCTGGTCCGCCAGTGCAGCCAGCTGCACGTGCTGTGGCAGCACCCCCGTGAGCACTGTCTGGGCCGGCAGACGCGCGCGAGGCGCGCTAGCGTCACATCTGACGTCCTACCCCTCCCTCCCTTCCCTTACAATGGCGTAGACCTCTTATCTATTCGCACAGTCGGATGTCGAGCAAAGCAATGATCCCAAGAGGGTACGCGAAGCGCGGGAATGAGGTCAGGACCGACGGAAATGAGAACAGCGCTGCAGCGGGAGCACGATTTAGAAGGACTGGAGCGCGGGAACGAGGCCAGGACCGAAAACTAGAATGAGGCCACCGCTGCAGCGGGAACACGATTTGGAAGGACCGAAGCACTGAAACGAGGCCAGCGCTACAGCGGCAGCGCTACTTCGAAAGACCGACCACGCCAGCGCTGCTGCAGAAATACGATTTGGAACAACCGGAGGCGCGGGAACGAGGCCGGCGCTGCAGCGGGAGCACGATTTTGAATGACCGACGCGCGGAGATAAGTGCGGCGCTGAAGGGGGACCACCATTTTAGAAGAACCGGAAACGACCAGATTGAAAAAGCACACAAGACAATGACAAATCATGAAATCCAGCGTGTAATAAACAACACGCGGGACGGAACAACAGACGGTAACGCCGTCACACTCTCTGGACAGAGGCAGGGAAGAGAGGAGGGTAACGCCGTCATCTTGTGCAATCGTGGAGGAGGGGGGGGGGGGGGAAGGGGGGGGCAGGGGAGGGGGCCGAGGGCAGAGGAAGAGCGCGCGACGACGCCGCCGCCTCTGTGGCTGCTGCCGCGGCTGCCGCCGCGGCTGGTGCCGCTGCTGCAGCTGCGCGGGGCGCCCCCTGGGCCTGCGGCGCTCGAGCACCTGGCGGCGGGCCCGGCGGCCCCCCCATCCTCCTCCCCCCTCCTCCCCTCCTCCTCCTCCTCCTCCCCCCCTCCTCCTCCCCCTCCCCCCTCCTCCTCCTCCTCCTCCTCCTCTTCTCCTCATCCTCCTCCTCCCTCCCCTCCTCCTCCTCCTCCTCCTCCCTCTTCCTCCTCTTTTCCTCCCCCTCCGTCCCCCACCCCTCCCCCTCCTCCTCCTCCTTCTCCTCCTCCTGCTCCCCCCTCCCCCTCCCTCCTCCTCCTCCTCCTCCTCCTCCTCCTCCTCCTCCTCCTCCTCCTCCTCCTCCTCCTCCTCCTCCTCCTCCTCCTCCTCCTCCTCCTCCTCCTCCTCCCCCCCGTTGGTGCCGGCGCCGCAAGGGGGCCCCGGGGGCCCGCGGAGCGAGGCCTCTGGGCGTCGGTGACCGTCTCTCGTGGCCCTCCGAGGGCGCCCCCGGGGCACGGCCGGGAGCTCTTGGACAGCTCTGGCGGCGCGCAGAGGGGGGGGGCGGAGGGTGGAGGGCTCCCGAGGAGGAGGCTGCTTCTCAGAAGGCGCCGGCCTTACACGCCGGTCGGAAGAAGTAGGTACAAGCATGTAATAGGAAGGCGGATAAAGTGGATTGGGTCCAGGAACACAGCAAAAGCGTGTCGATTCTTGAAGTAAGAAGGCGCTTGAAGTAGATTGGGATCTGGGAATCCAAAAACACCTACTTTCAACGACCGGCGTGTACATCTGCAGGGGGGGGGGGGGGGCGGATCGGCACGCACGAGATGGGGACAAAAAGAATGGGCACAGCGCCCAACAGCAGTTCCTGTTCATTCTGAACAGGACTCGTTGTCCACGCGCCGCCGCGGCCTGTGTCCGTTCAGGACAGGAGGCCGCCTGCCCAACAGCGGCCGCTGTTGGTTTGGGACAGCATTTGTTGTTGGGCATTGTACCCATTTTTTCCGTGCCCACTTCGGGCGTCCAAAGCGGAAGGTGGAAGGCTCCCGGGGAGGAGACTGCTTCTCAAAAGGCGCCGGCTTTACATCTGCAGAGATGAAGCCCGCACCCTCTCAGAAGCAGGGGTGCTTCTAAGAAGCCTCCCCCCATCCCCTGACGCGATGAGTTCAATCCCCAGCAGACGGGTTCAATCTCTGGCAGGCGGGTTCGATCGCCGGAAACAAGTTCAGTCCCCGGAATAAGGGTTCAATCCCCAGCATCCAGTGAAAGTACATGTCAAAAGCAAGGGTGACTCTTCAACTCAGAATGCCCATTCGAGTGCGTAAGGTAATCACATGAAGTCTGGGAACAGTTCTTGCCAGGGATTGAACCCTCCTGGGGCTCTACATACTGCCATCCGCATCGTAGTGACCCTATTGGAATTGACTGCGTCCGTCCAATTGGAACCAAATTTGGTTCCTAATAGGATCCAAGGCAATCCGAAAGTAACGCCATAACATTCCTGTCGAACGGTATTATAGATCCTCTCTATCGGGTTCCGATTGGTATCCTTTTTTCTGAGGTTTCGTCGAGCCGAACCGTACGCCATGATTGTTTTGACGGTTGCGGTCGCCTCTTGGGCCTCTCGACAAGCTTCATTAGCCTTTCGACAGGCCTCTTGCGCCTCCGACAGGCCTCTGGGGCCCTTCGATAATAGGCCTCTTGGATCCTCTGACAGGCCTCTTGGGCCTCCCGTAGGGCCTCTTGAGCCTTTCGACAAGCCTCTTGGGCGCTCCGAGAGGCTTCCTGCGCCTTTCGACAAGTCTCCTGGGCCCTTCGGCAAGCCTCCGGGGCCCTTCGACGGGCGCCTCGGGCCTCTCGAGAAGCCTCTTTTGCAGACGTGGGTCCCAAATGGGCATGCGGGCTGCTCTGGCCGAGCGGCCCTCGGAAGGCCCAAGAGGCCTGCAGGATACCCCAAGAGGCCTGTCGGATAACCCAAGAGGCCCGTCGGAGGGCAAAGAGGCCTGTCGGAGGGCCAGGAGGCCTGTCGGAGGGCCCAGGAGGCCAGTCGGGTCACCCAAACAGGCCTGTCGGAGGGCTCAAGACGCCTGTCGGAAGGCCCAGGAAGCCGGTCGGAGGGCCCAAGAGGCCTGTCGGGAGGGCCCAAGACGCCTGTCGGGAGGGCCCAAGAGGCCAGTCGGGAGGGCCCGAGAAGCCTGGAGGCAGGCCCAAGAGGCCGGTCGGGAGGTCCCAAGACGCCTGTCGGGAGAGCCCAAGAAGCCTGTCGGGGGGCCCGAGGGGCTTGTCAGGAGGCGCAAGGAGCCTGGTGGGAGGCCCAAGAGGCGAGTCGGGAGGCCCAGGAAGCGCACCACAACAACTCTTCGCTTCTAAACCGGGAAAATATATAGACAATATTGGCTTCCGGGGATTGAACCCTTCTGCTGGGAATTGAACCCTTTCACCGGGGATTGCATTTCTCTCCCCCAACCCCCTTTGCGCGTTGCGCGTGGCCGAAAATAGCGTGCCGCGCCGATGCGTGTCGCGCCGAGGCGTGGGGGGCAGAACCGGCGGAGCGAAACGCTATCCAACACTGGACCGTCAGGTAGTCCTGACTGGCCTCAGCGTCCTGGCACCGCCTCGATCCGAACGTATGGCAAACTCACACCGCGATGACGTCTCACCGATGGAGGTCATCCGAGATCGCTCCAAAAAGATGCCTGGCAAGCCACAGAGCTGGAGGGCCGCCTGGCATGGCGACGAGAGGAGCCAACAGAAGACCTGGAGGCGGCCCAAGAGGCCACCCTAAATACGGCCCGTTTTAGGGCGACCCTCCGGCATTCAAGGAGGGGGCGCCTCCAGCGGCGCTTCACGCCCCAGGGTTGAGGTGCCGAGACCGCCCCGGACAGCTCGGGGGACCTGTTGGGGCCAGGCGGCTCTGCCTGGGTGGGCTGTCTGTGCGCTCCCTGGAGCCTTACCAGCGCCCTCGTGGGCACGGCCAGCTTCGCTTCTAGCTCCCAGCAAGAACGCGCCCCAGGGGGTCGGCGTCGGCGTCGGCGTCGGCGTCGGCGTCGGCGTCGGCGTCGGCGTCGGCGTCGGCGTCGGCGTCGGCGTCGGCGTCGGCGTCGGCGTCGGCGTCGGCGTCGGCGTCGGCGTCGTCGTCGTCGTCGTCGTCGTCGTCGTCGTCGTCGTCGTCGTCGTCGTCGTCGTCGTCGTCGTCGTCAACAACATCGTCGTGGCCGTCGTCGTCTGTGCGCAACCCGAGGCCTTCCTCTCGGAGAACGCCAGGATTGAACAGATCATGTCGCGGAAAGATCCAGGCGGGCGGCGCGACACGAGCCCTGGGCCCCCATCTTTCCGCGGCAACTTCTCGAGCCCGATCGACCCAGGAGGGGCACGAGGCCCCCAGAGTCCCGACCCGTCGATCCCCAAGACCGGTCTCTGTCTCCTCCTGGGCCGCCTTTGTTCCCGTCCCAGGGCCTGGCGAGGGTCCCGGCAGGGCGAGCATGGCAAACAGCCTCCCGTCGTGATGTGCGTCTCGACCCGAGGGTCTGGGGTGGACGGAGCTCCACCTGCGCGTTCGGGATCATACCTCGGGACTCCAGCGGCCGGGCGGGGCGAGCCCGGCACCCCCGAGCACGCCCTCGCTGAGGCGCCGCTGCTGGCAAGCACCCCGCCGCGAGAACGCCTCCAGGACACCATCGGAGCTCTCCCGAACGCTTCCGAAACGGAGGCCGAGCAGCAGGGAGGAGGAGGAGGAGGAGGGAGGGAGGAGGAGGGAGGAGGAGGAGGGGAGGAGGAGGAGGAGGAGGGAGAGGGAGGAGGAGGAGGAGGAGGAGGAGGAGGAGGAGGAGGAGGAGGAGGAGGAGGCGAGGGCCCCTGGAGGCCGAGCACGCGGCCACGGACCTGCGGCCGTGGCTTCGCCGCAGCGCGAGGGCAGGGGGGGCGCGGAGCTCCCCGAGCCGGCGCCCACCGGGGGCCTGCCTCGCGCGGGGCCACCGGGCCGCGGTGGGGGGCGCCACCTCTCGGGAGCTGCTGGACCTGGAGGAGTGTGCCCCCGGCGCAGGGTGCCCCCTGGAAAGCCTAGACTTGCGCAGCCTGTGTTTGTACGTACGAAGGAAAGTCGTGGGGGCCCTGCCTAGGGCAACCCTGTTCCCTCTTCGCGCTCCGCGAAGCGCGATTATTTTCGCGCTTGCGCGCCGCCCCCCCCAACCAGGATGAGAGACTCGCGCCTCCCCATGAAATCGCCGAGACCGCGATGTGCCACTAACTTGGCGTCCTCGTGGTGGCCTGAGTTTTTTCCTCCGAGCAGAGGAAAGTCGCGAGGGCCCCGCCGCACCGTTCGCAGACGCGCCCCGCCGCCGGAGACGGCGCGCGAACAACGCCGCACGGAGCGGGTCGCGGCGCCTCGGCGCCAGCGCGCCGCTGGGCGCTGCGGGGGCGGCCCACGCGGGGGTGAGGCGCGGCGCGCACGGCGCGGCCCAACCGCCCACGCCGGGCGAGGAGCCCCGGCCTGCGCGCGCGGCGGCTCTGACGACGACGTCGCCGCTGAAATTGACGAACGACGCCGACGGCAAAAACGGCGAACGGCGACAACGACGGCGCCGCCGACGACGGCGGCGCGCCCGCCGACGGAGGCGTGGCGCGGCACGGGTGGTGAGTCGAACCGAGAGTGGCGATGGTGCTGAGGGTGATGATGGAGATCGCGATGATGGCGCTGATGGTGATGATGATGATGATGGGGATGAGAATGGTGGTGCTGATGGTGATGCTGGTGATGAGCATGGTAATGGTGCTGATGGTGATGCTGATGGTGATGCTGATGGTAATGCTGGTGATGAGAATGGTTATGGTAATGATGAAACTGATGGTGGAGATGGTGATAGTGATGGTGAAAATGGCGGTGGTGGTGATGGTGATGGTGAAGGTGATAATGGAGATCGTGATGATGGTGCTGATGGTGATGATGATGCTGGTGGTGAGAATGGATTTGGTGATGATGAAAATTATGGTGGAGAAGGTGATGGTGATGGTGATGGTGGTGGTGGTGGCGACAATTATGACTCGATTCACTCGTTCTACCCCCTTTGTGGGCTTCCTGGACAGCACAAGTGCAGGGCAGTGAGTTGCAAATCCTGGAACTCGGGTCAGTGTGCCACCACAAGCTTTCTTCCAACCAACTCTGTGTCTTAACCCACCACATGATCATGTACAAGATAGGGAGCCTGGGGATCTATGGCACTGACCATGAGGGCAAGCCCTCCAATAGAGCATGGATGGGCCCAAACCTCCTCTCGCTGCCAAAGAGGACCACCACCACCACCACGGGGTCTTATAAGACGCAGCTGGGACGAGGACAACATCGGGTGAAGACAGGCCGAGAAAACTCACAGATCCGGCGGCTCGGAGCAGGGCTGAACCTAAACGGTGTTTTTCGTTTTCGTTTTGTTTTCGTTCTCCCTCGTTTTGCCCTCCACCCGCCTTTAACGCAAATCGACATCGACACGAAAACGGCCCAAGAAATCACCAAAAACACCGCCCAAGTCCGGCCCTGCTCTGGAGACGCTCTGAGAGGCGAGTTCCGGAACGCTCTGCGAGAGCTCCGGAACGCTCATGGAGCGGATCCGTCCTTGCCCTGGCCTGAAGTCGGGCGTGTCCCCCTACAGGGAGATTTCCGATGACAACTAAAAAGAATACCCCCAAGATGCTCCAAAAATATTTGAAAATACTCCAAAAATAGTCCTCTGACTACTTTTTGACTATTTCTGAATCTTCCCCCTGCAGAGGGGCAGGCCCGACTGAACCCTGGCCCCGCCCGACATCCACGGCCTCCTCTGGGGCCCTCACCGTGCCCCGGGGCCGTCGACGCGCTGCTCGGGAGGGCGGGCGGGCCCCCTAGGAAGCGGCCCCAGGCCCTCGGGGCATCCTCACGCCCCTTGCTGTGCTGGGCGTCGATTCCTCCTCCTCCTCCTCCTCCTCCTGCTCCTCCTCCTCCTCCTCCTCCTCCTCCTCCTCCTCCTCCTCGTCCTCCTGGTGGAGGGGTGCGACACACGAGTGGGCGGCGAGGGCTCCAGAGAAGGTGGTCCTTTAAGGCCCCAGGAGGAGCCCTTGGAGGGGCCCCTCAAGGGCCCCCCAGGGGAGCCTCGAGGGCCCGTCAGGGGGCCAGAAGAGGAGCCCCTCAAGGGCCAAGGTGGCCCTCTAGGGCCCGAGTTGTGCACCCTTCTTCCCCCCCCCCCCATCTGGCGGACTCCCGAAACCCCGAACCCAGAAATGCTGTCCTCTCTTGAGCGCGCATGTTTTACTTTCCGCCACCGTCCGCCGCTCTTCCGCCGGCTTCCACCGGCGGAGGCGGCCTCGTCTTACTTCCGCCGCCCCCCCATCTGGCGGACTCCCGAAACCCTGAGCCCAGAAATGCTGTCCTCTTTTGAGCGCGCATGTTTGACTTTCCGCCACCGTCCGCCGCTCTTCCGCCGGCTGCCGCCGGCGGAGGCGGCCTCGTCTTGCTACTTCCGCCGCCCCTCCGCCGAGAGGAAGAGATGGACGACTCCTCCGCTCCTCGAAGGCCAGGCGCTTTCGTGGAACGCCTCCTTTACCACCACCCCCCCTTTGAGCAACAATCGCCCGCAGGCCTGGGGGGGGGCCCGGCCTCGGCACAGCGGGCCCGAGCGCTCGGGCCGAGCGCGCTCTGCGGGAGCCGCACGCTCGGCCCCCCGAGGGCGACACGCGCAGACTTCCACCAGAGCCTGCGCCCCCCCCCTCCCCCTCCTCCTCCTCCTCCTCCTCCTCTCCTCCTCCTCCATCCTCCTCCTCCCCCTCCTCCCCCTCCTCCTCCCTCCTCCTCCTCCTCCTCCTCCTCCTCCTCCTCCTCCTCCTGCTCCTCCATCCTCCTCCTCCTCCTCCTCCTCCTCCTCCTCCTCCTCCTCCTCCTCCTCCTCCTCCTCCTCCTCCTCCTCCTCCTCCTCCTCCTCCTCCTCCTCCTCCCCCCCTCGTCGCACCTTCCGGCCAGAGTGAGAATGGAGCTGCGCTGTAGTTGCGCCGGATTGCACCCAACTCGAGCTCCCTCGGACCGCATACTGTACCCCAATTCCGATGGTGAGCACTGCTCGAGGAGGGAAGACACGGGCAGGAGCCCGAACGGTCGGAGCTCCGCTGGACCTCCTGGATACTTGCGCTTCCTTCGCAGAAGAGCTGGGCATCTAGTGCGGGACTCGCAGACGATCAGTGACAAGCGCAGGAGATGTCGTTTTGTTCAGCGAAGGTAAAAGTAACGACGCAGCAGAACTTCGCGCGGAGCTCCGAAGCTGGTGTCCGCGATGCCTCTGCTGCCCCTCGGGAAGATCCCCCGCTCAGCCCACCCGCTGGCTGGAGGGCGTGCGAGGTGGAGCGCTCCGGGGCGGCCCCGCCGCGCGCGTCGGCAGGAGGGCCCTCCCCCGCGCTCGGGCGCCCGCGGTGCTCGGCGCGGCGCGGCGGGGAGGCAGGGGAGGCAGGCAGCCACGTGCGAGCGCCACGTGCGAGCCATACGTATATATATATATATATATATATATATACATACATATATATTTATATATACATATGAATAAATATATACACACCCATACGGCGCGCAGCCCGCGGAGGCCTCCCAGATGGGGTCGGAGCAGATGCGGTCGGAGGATCTCGCCTTCATCGTCGATGCACAACCGATGCATCGGCGACGTCGGCGGCGCGTCGGCGCTATGTCGGCGTAGAGAAAGTCGTGCTCCGCCTCGAACCACATCGCCGATGCAACGCGATCCTCCGACCCAGTCTGCTCGGACCCCATCGGGGGGTGGCCTGGCCCCATCGATTTGGATCAGTGGGGGCTCGCTTCGCTCGAGCCCGCTCGCGCCCTCTTGGCCCAGACCCGGCAGACCCTCTGCTGGTGCGGACCGATGGGCAGTGAGGGGGCAGGGCTCACAGCTGGCGACCCAGAGTGGGGGCCAGACGTCAGCATTCTGTCATGAGCTCGTCCGCGTCCTTCCCTCGGCACCGCGCCCAGGAGGGAAGGCACAAGGGGGGCGGGCCTTCTCGGAAGGCTCAGAAGGCCTCTGGCCTGCTGAGAAGCTGTTTGAGACTTCTCTGGAGCCCCGCCGCCCATCGAGAAAACCTGCCCACTCTCACGCCGACCCCCCCCCCTTCTCGGTGCGCCGCCGATTCCCTCCTCCCTCCTCCTCCTCCTCCTCCTCCTCCTCCGCCTCCTCCTCCTCCTCCTCCTCCTCCTCCTCCTCCTCCTTTTCTCCTCCTCCTCCTCCTCCCCTCCTCCTCCTCCTCCTCCTCCTCCTCCTCCTCCTCCTCCCTCCCCTCCCTCCCTCCCTCCCTCCCTCCCTCCCTCCCTCCCCTCCCTCCCTCCCGCCCTCCCTCCTCCTCCCTCCCTCCCTCCCTCCCCCTCCTCCTCCCATCTCCTCGTCCTCCTCCTCCTCCTCCTCCTCCTCCTCCCTCCCTCCCTCCCTCCCCTCCCCCCCTCCCCCTCCCCCTCCCCCTCCCCCTCCCCCCTCCCCCTCCTCCTCCTCCTCCTCCTCCTCCTCCTCCTCCTCCTCCTCCTCCTCCTCCTCCTCCTTTTCTCCTCCTCTTCCTCCTCCTCCTGCCGCCGCGTTTCGTGGCTTCTCCTAGTGGTCTGGCTACACGTGAGAGTGACCCTGGGCAAGAGTGATCTTTGGTGCACGCCTTGTGGGGAGCGCGGGAGGGCCAAACCCGAGCAGGGAAGCAGCTGCCATCGCATCGCATTCGGCCATCTAGGGACCCCAAAGTGCCCGCATCAAAGGTCACTCCGGCCAAAGGTCACTCTTACTCGCAGCCGACTCGTGCCGCCGCGCTCCCAAGACCCCCGACGTCGTGCTTTTTTGTTCACAGCGCCGACCCCCCCAGAGGTCTGGACCCCTTCTCCAGGACCGCTTCCTCATCCCGATTCGCCTCTGGACGGCCCCGAGGCCCGGCGAGGGCCTCACCGGAGAGGCCGCACGCAGCGAGAAACTCCCCGTCGCCATGTGTTTCGGGGATGGACAGACCCCCCTTTAACAAAACGTGGTTCAGTGAAAACGACCTGAGGCCCAAACCTGGCGGGCGCAAGCCTGGAACATAACGGCCGCGGCGCCCTCTCGAGAACCGAAAACGGACAATTCACTCATCGACGTGTCACTGCTGGGGGTTCTACCGCCGGACCTACAGCACACCCTGGTTGCCAGAAGGAGCGTGGCACGAGCCTTGCTGGCCACGGCTGGCGGGCCTCGGCCACGAGCAGGCTTCCCCGCCACCCCCCCCCCCTTCCCGGGCGGCGCGCGAAGCTGGGCGGGGCGAGGGGGGGGGGGCCTTCTACGGCCAGACCCAGCACAGACGAGCAATAATAGAGGCCTCCTAGATGGGGTCGGAATAGATGGGGTCGGAGGATCTATCGCGCCGGCAATCGCGTCCTAGATGGGGTCGACG